ACTAGGTCATTTTTTATCCTGTTTACACAGCAACCAGGTTTCTGACACATATTTAGGGCAGGAAGTACCGTTGAGTCGAAAAGGGCACGCAGTCGGGTGTTTTTTGTTCTCTTCACTACTTCCTCGATGCTCTTGAAAGCTCTCCAAGCCGCTCGCTTCCTTCTGCACAGCTGTGGAGCTAGGTCGTTCATCATATTGATTTCCCAACTTAGATAGACATAATTGGAGCATTCGGGAATATTCGTTCCGTTGAGCGTAAATGAGGCATACGAAACCAATCCGTTCTTCATAAACATCGTTTCTGTGAGATTTAGTCGGAGACCAATCTTTCCACAGGGTTTATCAAAGTCGGCAAGCACACGTTCCCTTTGGCTAATGCTTGGTGTTATAAGAACGATCTCATCGGCAAAGTGAAGATGGTGAAATTTTCGACGATCGATTTTCATTCCCATATTATCCCATTCCAATGTTTGCATCGAGGGTGGCGGTAAATAATTTTAACGAGATATTATCGCCTTGCTTAAGCCTCCTTCTGATATCGATGTTAATATCATAGTAGAACAGTGACATCTTGATTATGATCAACAAATATCAACAAATAAGCTCCATGGTCACTCTGGGAAAGACTGGCAAGCTACCCGTAAGTATACTCAGCTCCCACGTTCACAGCCCAGCAAGCTATACGTGCGTATCAAAATGCTAAACACAGAAAAAGAAACAGGCCTCATTCCCCTGGCCCCGAAAGAGCGCCAAATTCGGCAGCTTTGGATAGGATGAGTACGGAGAGGCTGCTAAAATCTCAGCGGCAAAGGAAGCTGTCTTGATAGCTAAGAACTAATGTGACGATCTGTACCTACGATGCACGTACACTTGCATCCGAGTACTCGATGGAAGACTTGGTCATGCAAGCGAGAAAGATAAGGTACGACGTCATCGACCTAACCGAGACGAGACGACACCACTCATTTAACGCCGTCTATGACACCGGAGAAGAACTCTTCCTCGGAACATGCGACAGTAGAGGAGCCGGCGGAGTTAGCGTTCTCGTCAACGCGAGTTCATCCACGAACATCGATCTATTCGAACAGCTGACAACTCGAATCGGGCGTTTAGATTAAAAAGATGTGGATCAATACCGCCTTTGACAATCTTCGTCGTTTACGCGAAGACATCAAACTATGACGAAGAAGAAGCCGAAGCGTGATATCACTGGAGATTTTAAAGCCAATAATGGAGCAAGAAGAACGTCTGATGAACGTCAGCCTGAGACCCACCGATTAGAATGGAACGAAAACGGCGAGCGGATTTCTAAGTTTGGCATGACGACCAAGATCATCCATGGTAGTTCGCAATTCCAAAAGCCCCACACTCAGCGCTGGACGTGGGAGTTTCCTAATAGAGAGTACCATAACGAAATAGACCACATTATAGTAAACCGAAGGTTTTGCCTTAGTGATGTCGCTGTTGTCCCAAAATTCTACACGGGATCGAATCATTGTCTCCTTCGTGCAACATTTCATTTCTTGCTGAAAGAAGAAAAAGCCGCTAAATTCAAAAACCGAAGTCCCAACACTACTATAAACTAGGACTTATTCAACTCATTAGTAGGCTGTTGGAGAGATACCATTGTCGATAACATCGATGAGGAACACGATCGGTTCATTCAACATCTTCACGTTAGTGCCATGAAAGCTGAGAGTTCGAAAGTCACCAAGAGACGTCTGTGTCTAGAAACTCGAGCTTTTACGCCAGCGTGGAATCGGACGAGCTGCAGACAACCGCGAACTGACGTCCGAACTTGCAAGACAGCTTCCTTTGCCGCTGAGATTTTAGCAGCCTCTCCGCACTCATCCTATCCAAAGCTGCCGAATTTGGCGCTCTTTCGGGGCCAGGGGAATGAGGCCTGTTTCTTTTTCTGTGTTTAGCATTTTGATACGCACGTATAGCTTGCTGGGCTGTAAACGTGGGAGCTGAGTACACATACGGGTAGCTTGCCAGTCTTTCCCAGAGTGGCCATGGAGCTTATTTGTTGGAGGTGACTCCTAACCGCCTCTCATATACTTCCCAGTCACTTGATTGCAGCCTTTTGGCCGAATTGACTCGTAGAATACAACCCGCATAAACGTGAACGCAGCCACTAACACGTGCATGAATACGCCTCGTAAATACAGAAACCGTGTGCCAAATTGGCGCATCAGAAGCAGGGAGTCCATATCCTGGATCCATCTGCGTCTCAGGGAAACATACGGTCGGTTTTCGTCCGGGATTAACCCCCTAACCACCAGCTGGGGACGCGCCATGTAGCATCGCTACTAATCGGCTCGAGATCCCTCGTATGAGCCACTCATAGGGTCGGAAAATTGGTACCACAGTTGTCTGGAAAATGATCACTCTCTGTAATCCAAGCTTTAACGTACTAGCTCGGCTATCTCAGGACTTCACGGAGAATCGACTCTACCGCCATTCAGCGACACTTGTGATGAAAGCGTAAAATCCGCAAGCAACAGTCAAACCCATACGTGAAAGGTTCGAAGACTTGCATGGAGTATGGATGCGAGAAAATGGATCGAGTGCGAGAAGTGCTGGGATCCGCATAGTAGATGTGAAAGACGAGTCGGGTAAAAAATAAAATTTACAATATTTATTTCTTCGCCTCTTTCTCTCGCCGCACAGCTTTTACCCGCAACATTTTTTGCCATATGCCCACCTACTACGCTGTCACATGAAGTGTTTATTAGGAGAAATTTTTTAAACTCTGAATTTCGAGGTGATTCCTTGCTTACTGTATAGATGGAATATGCGAGAGATTGCTGCTTGTGAGGAAGGTACTAGGGTAACTCTGCTCTACATGCCTTTCGAAATTCGGCACTTGGAAACCCAGCTTGCCATTGCAAATTACCAAAGAAAAATGTATTGTTTATTTAATTCTAGAACAAAAAATATCAAAATACCAGGCCCTGCAAAAATTTCCACACGCTCTACAAAGCTGTAACTATTTATTAAAAATGTGCTATTTTTGTTCGCATGCTATCGATCTGCAATTGGCTGATTGTTATAAGGGATCCAGAAGTCGCATAGCATTACATTGCTTGAGTTCTCATGGGCAATCTCACTACCTTTTCCTTCATTCTCAAGCCCACTTTCATTAAGTTCTTCATCGATGGGAGGCACAGGTACCCCATTGTTCTTAGTGTCTTTAGCTGCTTTCCGTTCACTTTTAGTAGTGAGGCGCTAAAGCTAAAGGAGAGGAAATGGTTTTTAGATAGCAAGCAAAGGCAGAATATCAATCATCGAGATGCGTGAGACAGGAAGCACAAAAATTTTATAGAAAATGCAGTGGAAAAGATAAGGATTATAATTATCTTACAACATAGCGGAGTCTTCTATGCGGTATTTGGAACAGGGCAATCTCTTAGAATATTTCTAATCGATGTCTCATAAGGTAAGAAAATAGAAAATTTATTCTGCAGACTGATTTAAAGATCCAAGGTTATTAATTCCGACCAATGTCTTATAAGATTATTGAGTGTTATCCCTTTCGGGGACGAGTGTAGCGTAGTGGTCGGAAGCGTCCTACAATACACATGTGATCGATTCCCGCGCCCCTGGCTCACTAAACCTTCCATCCCTCCGGGATCGACAAACAGGTACAAAACTTGTCTGGGAGGATAGCAGCACTGGCTCGATACATCGGTAGGCCACAACGACTCATTGTAAAGCCCAGATATGCATTCAATTATCTCCAAACGATGCTTAATGAAGTCGAATGCATGGCGCATCTCTCAGAAATTGATCAAAGCCGAGAAATTTATCCTTTATTCTTTTTATACTACCAAAAGGTGAGCGTGAAGTCCTTCCTATTCTCCTATCACATTCTTATTTTACAACTGCTCCAGTCGTGGAAAAGTTGTCGGCAATGGTGAGAAATTAACACCATCGCCAATATCTGAGAGCACCTTCACTCAGTCTTCTGCGTATTTTGTTTCGACGGTAAGCATCTTTCGTGGATTTTTTAACGAAATATGAAAAATTCCACTTAAGTTCGCTATCGATCACCCTACTGTCACGTTTTCGTTAGGTTTCTCATTTTGCACCTCCAATTCATCACAAGTGCATATCATTTCACCATTTACGTGAAAAACGTACACCAGGACGTACCACGGCCTTTGACATCCTGAAGGTTAGCTAATAGGAGGGATTTTGACCAACTTAAAAGCTTCTTTCATTCTGCTTGATATTTTTAAGAAAAAAGCGTTCAAATTTTTTTCATGGCCCGACAACACGTGTACCACTACACTGCAGATCCTAGCATTTCTTGCATCCGACTCAACTCCTCGTATCCACCATCCACGAAAGTCTTCGAACTTTCTTGCGTATGGATTCGCGTTTTGCATGCGGGTTTTCTTCTTCTTTATAAATGCCGCTGAATTCAGATCAAGTCGATCCTTCTTGGAATCTTGAGATAGCCGTATTAGAGCGTTACCACGTGGATTAAAGAGAGTTGTTTCATCCGAGGCGATTTTTCTGCCAATTTCTTGACACCGCAATTATGAAGGCTTAGTGAGCGTGGTAGGGACTCGAATCATTGCCTAGGTGTCTCGGATTAACCGCGTAAGGAACGGTTATGTTAGCGATACACTATCCACTTGTTGACATTTTTAATATGATTTTTAAATCGCTCGATTGTTTCCTCCACTTAACACACTCGCAAGAATATAGGTCATACATGTATGTCACTTAACCTAGTATTAGGGGCTGGTAGAATAGTGGTAGTGATGCCGATCACCCTGAGGGTGGTGTTTCTTCGACTCAACTCCAGGTTCACTATGCTTCTCATCCCTGATCACCTGTATCACCTGTAGTCCCGTTGATGGTCAAGCGACTCAAGCGGGCGCCAGTAAATCTTCCATTGTCCCATGTAAGAGTAGCTCAATGGGTTTTGCTCGCTCTACTCTAGGCACTCGTTGGGCATTATATCTTTCTTCTAGGCTTTTCATGAACAACTCTAACCATCGGTTCAGTGGTCTTGTTGCAGCGCATTTGACATCCCGAAGAATCCAGTCACTAACAGCTCTTGTCCATCGGTTGTCATTCATACGCATTACGTGTCCAGCCCATCTTATCTTCGACTGTTTGGCGTACAGAACGGCATCTTTGATTTTTGATCGTTGAGGCAGGTGGCAGCTTGGGATCCCTTCCATTACTCGCGCAACACGGGATACTCCTAGCGTCGTCCTTTCGACTGCGCGTTCAATAACACTAGGTCATTTTTTATCCTGTTTACACAGCAACCAGGTTTCTGACACATATTTAGGGCAGGAAGTACCGTTGAGTCGAA